AAGCTAACCTAACTTCTTGTCCTTTACTCATCTCATACACTGGGGGTTTTTTGTTTGTTTTTACTATTCATCTTTTGGTGAATTTTTAAATTCAATCACCCATATTCATCTGTATCCAATTCTGACCAATTTATTAAACTCCTATTTTGTTCCCTATGTTAGGAATCATGCTGTATCTAATATGAGTGTGGTGTTACGATGTGATTTCTGCTATTAATGTTCTGTCTCTCCAGTGAGTGAGTCAAGATTGAAGCATAAAACACTCAAAGATCACTATAATACAACACATCAACAAGAGAGATAGAAAGGAGTTTGAATGATGAGGGAAAGCGAAAGGGTAAGCCTTGGATGTGAGCATGTCTTTTAATAGACATTGAGGATAATTCACGAATATGCAGATCCAAGGAGGAATGAGTGTAAGATGTGTGGGACACACTCAGACACTGCCTCCTTAGGCACAGGCATCATACTGCAGAACAGAAAAAACAGAAAGGTAGATGCATTCTGATTATAAAGTCTTGAAAGTTAAACAAAGAGAAGCTGAAACTTGTTAGGCCCCAAATGTATTTTAGGAGACTATCTGAGGAGGGTATTTGAAAAAGCCATAGAAGAAATCTAGGCGTGAAACAATGAAATTTTGGAGCGACAGGTGGCAGAAAAAATGAAAAGAAAGGATTAATTCCAGGATGCATTTCACAAGAAAGATTCTGACTTTAAGGTTATTAGAAAGGGAGGAGTCAAAGATGACTCAGATATTTCTAACCTGGGAGGTGGCCTAGTGTTGCTGGCATGTGTGAGAATGGAGAAATTGGATGGGGCAATCCCCAGCAGAAGAAGAATGGTGATGAGTTCTGAGATTCCCAGAATAAAATCCAAATTCATTTTAAGCCAATCAAATAGAAATGAAAGTTATTTACTATGGGCCTCTCAACTATTACTATTTATTACTATTACTATTACTATTACTATTACTATTACTATTACTATTACTATTATTACATCATGAGTGAGCATGGTACATCCAGAATCCTGTCCTCATGCACCTGCCCTCACTTCCATAGAAAAACCACCATGCAAAAGTCAGTAGCAAGAGCTGGGCCAGAAGAAACATCACTCCTCTAACTTTCACAACTGTCACCAGTGAGATGCCTTATAGATCTTTCAACTTAAATCTACACAATAGGCCCTAGCTGGTTTGGCTCAGTGGACAGAGCATCAGCCTGCTATTGAGGGGTCCCAGATTTGATTCCAGTCAGGGGCACACGCATGGGTTGTGAGCTTGATCCCCCGTGGAGGGCGTGAGGGAGGCGCATGCCTGGGTTGTGAGCTCGATCCCCAGTTTGGGGCATGCGGGAGATAGCCGATCAATGCTTCTTTCTAATCATTGATGTTTCTGTTGCTCTCTTCCTCTCCCTTCCTCTCTGAAATCAATAAAAGTATATTTAAAAAAACAAAACAAAACTACACAATAGTTTTAACAATTCAGGTAATGTAGGTATAACAACACGCATGGATCCCCAAAACCACCAATTAATCAATAATTTCAATCTTCCTTCTCAATTTTTCCTAGAGCTGCTGACAAGTAAAAAAACCAATTGAGTTCACCTTTACAGCCACATTCAATCTATGATAGTGATAATAGGTAGTATGAGGAAGAAAAAGGAGATGCTAAAAATTCTAATGAGCCAGACCTTAGTATTGCCATTGTTGGCACTCATTACCTGGATAAGACCACTCTACTCCCGGTAAAAACTCTGTGGTTCAATTCCAGACTCGGGCACAGAGTAACTACATGATTGTTGCTAAATTACTTAACATTTCTGCACCTTAGTTTTGTCATCTTTAAAATGGGGACAATCAAATTACATAGTTTGAAGAGATGATGTGTCTATAACTAAGGAAATACATGCAAAGTAGTTAGCATAGTGTCTGACACATGGTAAAGCATTCAATAAATGTTCACCCCTATGATTATTTTTATTTGTCCCTGAAGACAAAAGGTATGCCTAGAGGTCAAAAGACATACAAAGAATGTCAATCTTGCATTGACCAAAGCCACTGAGTCACATCTGGATGGGTGGTATTCAGTATAACCTTGTGGTAACACAAATTTGAATATAATTCAATTACTAGTTGGCTTCTGCCTTCTATCAGCCCCTATTTTCAGATGTGGGGTGGGCAAAATTTCTTATATTCTGAAGGGGGAGGGGTACTAGAAAGTAACAGCCTCAAGATAGTTGGGGTTTAATTCAGTGTGCGGCTATACTTGTACAGAATAACTTCCACTGTTCTTTTAGTGGTATTTTCTACCACTTGTAAAATATTGTTTTTCATTAACTTTGTAAAAATGCGACTCCTTGTTTGGCAGAACTGCATTTTTGGAGTCCACTTATCTTATTATGGCAGGGTTTTACTGTTCTAAAAAGTAGTCAGCTCCACAGTAATTAGGAACTTCTCGCCTGCATTTTCAGAGGTACAAATGTATTAAAAGGAGACAAAATTAACTCACTGAACATTACCGCTTGGCTTCGTCTAAACTCATTTTGGAGAGTTTTGTTTTGTTTTGTTTGCCTTTGATCCTGAGCATGGTATTTTGGCTTTAAGTTTGCCTCTTGACAAGCCACTGCATGTAGAGATTGTAAGAGGTTGGAATTCATTCAAACTTGCGGCCTCAGCCCATTTTCCCCCGTGTGAATGCGAAGCAGCGGGCCCTGCCTGCCAGGCTTTGGAAGCTGTCTCTACCTGGAACTCATCTGCCGAGGCCAGTGACCTAAGCTGTTGGTGGCAACACAAAAGGGAGTAAGTGAAAGCAGATGATGCCAACAGGAAACATTTCGCTCTGGACGGGTGTTTACCGTGGCCAAGGCTGCAGCAGCTAACTTTGATTTATCAGTCCTACAAACCCGCCCGGCCATTCTGAGAGTAGAATGTGCTCACAAGATGACAACTCCCGTTCTCACCGCAGCTGAGTTTCAGCTGGGGTGTAGTCTGAAGTTTCATCTGCATTTCTCTGTTGCCCAACTAGCACTGAAGAAGTCACTGTAGCCCAGAAAGGAGTTTAACTCTGTCAAGGGGACCTGATTTCTATGGTACTACAACTACAGTGGCTTATGCAGAATTTACCAGACAGAGGCAGCATTATACACTGAATACTAATATTTAGGATAACTCTGATATACACACATTGGAATGTACCTCTTCCTTTCATCTTTTGATTTCATGATACAGAGAAGTGTGTATATTCCTAATTTCTATTTTTTAGTCTGCTCTCTCAAACCTACGTAATGCAACACGAGAAATTAGTACTGACTACTAGATGTAAAAAATATGAGTCCATGGGCTGAAAACCAGACTCTGGAGCCTGGGTTCAAACCCTGACATCACCACTTCTTACCTGTGCAATCTTGATCCAGTCACTTAATCTCTGTGCCTTGGTGTTCTCAACTGTGAAATGACTAACATTGCCATTACCTGTGCTAAGTGCCTGGCGCATAGTCTGAGATCAAGAAATGCTTATTATTAGTAGCTAATTTTAATCTTTTTATATAATGGACATGAGAAATAAAGAAAAACCACAATTACAAAAAATAAAAATACCTAAATTCTAATCGCCATTTTTTTGAACCGTCATTTTTAAGTTATTCTCTATTACAAGAAAAGGTAACTCTCTATACTAGTTTTAGGTTCTCTAAATTACTCTACAAAATATTATATTTTGTAGAGTAATATTTTGTAGAGAATATTTTACATTCTATTGATATAAAGATATGCAAGAATATTAATTCTAATGTGTACAATGGAATTAATCTTCTATAAAGAACTGATATACACACAATATGATGAGAACAAAATTATGCTGTTTTTACAACCAAATAAAATCTCATCAACAACGCTACATAATTACCTGTGCAAAAGTCCTTCAGAAATGATGAAGTACTATTAAAATAAAAGGAATTATTTATTCTAGCACCAAGAGTTTAAATGTTTTACACTAATTGACTTGATATTTTCTTTTGAATTATCCTATTGTGCATGATTTAAGTAGATTCCACCATGGTTCTCGTCTTATTTCTTAGGACTAAGTGATTGAAAAGCAATACACATTTTTAGTGTCAATAGCTCATTATTCTGTTTACAAATAATTCAGCATAGTATTCTTTTATATAGCATATGGTCATACTATATCTGAAATACAATCTGATTTACAGAAATTTTATCAATGAGGATCTTTATAAGATAACTTTTGTGAAACATAAAACATCTCACCTGACTTCTACTTAAGTAAAAGGATTTACTTAAGTAAAATACTTTATAAGTATTCTTATAAAAATACTTAAGTATTACTATTGAGAAAATTAGCTCCAAAGTTTAAGAACAAAAGCAAAAACAACATTGGTCAAATCATTGAAGTTAAAAAGATTACCTCCCTCAGTTCTAAGGACTTGTCTGAATTTTTTCTGCATTTTCATTCTGGGGCATTAAGCCCAATTTATCACTTGGCAATGACTAAATGTAACTAAAATAACACTAATTGGAAACCAATCCTCTCAAACTGTGTTGACACATTTGCACCATTTCAGTATCTGCCCTGAGGAGAGATAATAGATTTTTTTGTGGAACTCTGGATTTCATTCATTCAGTTGATCAAATACCAGTCTATAGTTTCTGCTACAGCACAAAAGTAAACAATGATCTAGCTGAGACTGCTGCTTGTTTGTGTTGTGCAGACCATGGTGAGATCTATGAGATGAATAATGAATGAGTCCATATTTTACAGATAAAGCACAGTTTCTACATGCTTTGTATTTTTCTAAATAAATATCACAGGCCCATCTTTCTTACAAATTCAAAAATATGAAAAAAACATACTAAGTATTTATATAAATGCTTTCAAGAGGAAACACTATTTTAAAAAAATTAGAATGAAACACTAAAGTAGTATCAAAATATTTTTAACTACAATTCAAAAATTAGGGGAGGGGGGATTCTCATTTACTTACAAGTTTGTTTTGCTCTTGGAGGAAATTTGGTCCGGGTAATTGCCAAAATTATAAAAATAATGACTGGCCATAATATCAAGACAAGTGTCCAAAGCTGCAAAATAATGATAAGAAAAAAGTATTAATTATATTGCTGAATTGCTGAGCGCAAAAACCTGACAAAAAATACATCATATTATAACATTCCAACACAAAACAAGTATTTGCCTGTAAATATTCTTATTAAAAAGGAAAAGTGATTTTTTTAAATGAAAGAGATCTATAAATGAACACAAGATTATTTTTTTCCAGGCTTAAAACCTTAAAATGATCTTCTGAAGACCCCTTTCCAGTTACCTATCATGACTACTCCAAGAGTGATGATATTAAAATTCAAATCTGATCAGTAAGTTCTCTACTTAAAATCTGATGTTTTCCCGGTTGCCTGTTGGATAAGGCTCAGCATTCTAAACAGGGCATACAAAGCCCAACACAATTGTAACGTAGACACCTCTTAGACTTCTTTTACCATTTCCAAAGTCAACATTTTATGCTCAGCCAACAAGATTAGTGGGTGACATTAAATAATGACTCAATAGACATCATTGAACAAATAAATAAGTGAATAATTGTGTCAATGAGTACCAGTAGATGAGTAAACAGGAACTTCAAATTTTATGCAACATCCCCCAGCATACCTCTATAAATAGCATCTTGTGTCTGCTTCTATCATAAAACCTAACATACTCTTACCGTCAATATTTTTCTGCCTGACTCACAAAATAAGTTGGCAACTCTTTTATGGCAGGAACAGTGTCTTATAGATCCCTGAATTTTCACTGGTACAAAATAAATACTGAAAAATGTATACTGATACTGCATTAAATTTCTATCAGAGAACTTCACTGTAACACACTTCGAGTGGCTTTCCTCCCCATGTATACATGCTTTGTTGCATAAGACATCAACTGCTTAATATTTTACATACCTATAAAATTTTTCAAACATGTATTCACAACAAAACCATTAACTGTGGTATGCAAACAGTTATAGCACACAAACCAAGCTGTACCAAACAAACCTTGCCTAGACTGAATAAAGTAAAACTTGGAACTCTGTTTCTGCCTGGTTATGCAATCAGACTTATTATCATTCCTCCCGCACTTTTCAGAGACAGCTTGCTTCTGCCAAATCTCAAGCTACTGCCTGGGGCTCTTTAATTCTCCAAAACAATCTAGAGTAGACCCATTCAAGTATTGATCCTTAGGAAACTCCTGATCTCAATTTTCTCTGGATATCTCCATTGTGTGTCTAATAGCACTGCTCTCCTTGCTAGCAGGCCTGTCACCAGCTTCTTAGACTTTGGGTTTTAAAACAAGAAGTTGACTCCTGATGTAAGAAATCCTGAGGTGCTGGGTTTGGTCATAGCTGAAAAGCTTCCAGATTGACCAAACAGCCTAACCTATACAGCGCTTCTCAAATTTTTGTGCACCGGACCTCTAGTATATTTTATATATATATATGATGTTATTCTAGCCTAGTGTGATATATTTGAAAATTAAAGTCTATGTTTTAAGGAAAGAATTGAGGTTACAAAAATGTAATGTCTGTAGATTTATTGTCCTTATATTTGAAGCCATAGTTATTTTTTTTAAAGGATTCATCCAAGTAGTTTTAATGCCCCATAGCTACTTTCAGGAGCATCTATTCATTTTTCTATAGTAACTTCATGAGAATTCAGTGAGCAACTGAGATTAATTGTATCAACACAAATGTACATTCACATTTATATAAGAATATGTAGTGGGATATCTTTAAGTGGTCTTTTGATTTATCTAATTTGATGGAATTTTTTAAGTTTTATTTTTTTGTTTAAAGTATTACATATTGTAGTACATATGTCTCCTTTTTCCCCCATTTATCTCCCACCCCCAGCCAACCCCCGGCCAACCCCCGTCCCCTAGCACATTCCCTTACCCCCCTAGTGTCTGTGTCCATTGGTTAGGCTTACACACATGCATACATGTCCTTTGGTTGATCTCTTACCCCTCCTCTCAATCCCTCCCCTGCCTTCCCACTGAAGCTTGACAGTCAGTTTGATGCTTCTTTGCCTGTGTATCTATTTTTGTTCATCAGTTTATAATGTTCGTTATATTCTACAAATGAGTGAGATTATGTGATATTTATCTTTCTCTGACTGGGTTATTTCGCTTAGCATAATGCTCTCCAGTTCCATACATGCTCTTGTGAATGCTAAGAGTTCTTTCTTTTTTACAGCAGCGTAGTATTCCATTGCTTAGATGTACCACAGCTTTTTAATCCACTCATCTGCTGATGAACACTTAGGTTGTTTCCAAATCTTAGCTATTGTAAATTGTGCTGCTATGAACAAATGGGAGTTCCATTTTCAATTTTTTGAGGAAACTCCATACTGTTTTCCACAGTAGCTGCACCAGTCTGCATTCCCACCAGCAGTACAAGAGGGTTCTTTTTTCTCTACATCCTCACCAGCACTTGTCCTTTGTTGATTTGTTGATAGCGATTCTGACAGGTGTGAGACGGTACCTCATTGTTGTTTTGATTTGCATCTCTTGTATGATTAGCAACTTAGAGCATGTTTTCATGTCTCTCAGTCTCCTATGTCAACTTTCGAAAATTTAAGTCCTTTGTCCATTTTTTACTGGATTGTTTATCTTCTTTTTCTTAAGATGTATGAGTTCCCTATAAATTTGGAGATTAGGCCCTAATTTGATGGCTTCATGAAGAGGTTTTGGTAAATTTTGAAGTTAATTTTTGACACAATTTAAGTTCAGCCCAAACTGTAGTCTATAACAGTGTAGTTTAAGACATTTTTGACTCTGTTACAGATAAAAACCACAGCTAGCCTATAAGCAATTTATTATCACAAGATTTCCCCTGGGATTGTAGGTCAGAGAGGTTTGAAGAACATTTCTGAATACTGCATTTTAGAAGGATAACAAATACCGAGCCATTCACACTGTGATCACAGTAATGTTAAGGCTGCCAAGTTAATCACAAAAGCCAGAGACAAACAAAATTTAAATTTTCATAGCAGCAGGATTGCTCTCAACACCATTCTAAATATTATCATAAATAACCTGGAAGAAAATGTGTGCCAAGGATCCAAATGCTAAACTGATGAGTCATGGCTTTTCTTGCTGTTGGTTTAGAGAAAGGGCTAATATATTGATCTTAGTTACAGATTTGGGACTACTGGAAACTTTGGGGAAAGCAGTTTTTAACTTTCAAAAAAGTTTCATATTTTTGCTGATATTTTAACTTACCTCACACTTGCCTCTATACCTCATTTGCCTTCCATCCCCTCTGCATTCCTTTTTTTTAATTTTTTTTATTGATTTTAGAGAGGAAAGGAGAGGGAGAAAGCGATAGAAACATCAATGATGAGAGAGAATCATTGATTGTCTGCTTCCCACACACCCCACACTAGGGATCAAGCTCGCAACCTGGGCATGTAACCCAGACTGGGAACCAAAACACGACCTCCTGGTTCACAGATCGACACTCACCCATTGAGCCACATCAGTCAGGCCTCCCTGCATTATTGACATTGAAGGGCATAGGCACACTGAGCAGGTGGGTTCTTTAGTGGGCCATGGCATTTGTCTCCTTTCATTCCTCCAGGGATTATTTCCTATTGAGATGTCCCATTCTTTTTCTTTTTCTTCCCTTTCAGCTTCTGAAAATTTCAGTGTCTGAAAGTCCTCAGGTGGTGCCCAGTAAAGTAAGTCCACGCTATGACTGGGTGCCCTACAGTGAGGGAGGTGGGTCCCTACTAAGGTAAAGAGGACACCCACAGTGCAGCAGCTAGACATGGGGTGTCCGGTGGGTAATGAAGGTGTCTGTGCAGAGTGAAGAGCAGGCAATTGGTTTCATATAGGGAGGCTGACCAAAAAGTCAATATGCCCCTTTAGAGAAGCCAGGTTCCTCACTACCCATCAGGGGAATTATGATCATGGAAAGGGAGGAAACTAGAATGAACTCTTTAATATTGGGTTTGAGTTAAGGATATATGTGTGAACTCCTGGGTTTCAAAATGTATAAAGATACATAAACTACAGTGATAAATGTGTATATAACAATTATTTCCTTCTTTCTGGTTCCACAAGTTTTTCTGCCTCACTGTACTTTCTCTGTCCTAGTCTTGAAAATACCAATTTTCCAGGAAATGCTAGCTTATTTTAGTGCACAGATGAGAGCTAAGTGTGCTGGTTGCTATTGGGATGTCACTGTTCCCAAGAGAACCACAGAATATATGTAGAATATATGTAGACACAGAGATGAATGATAGAAAGATAGATAGGTAGATAGATGATGATGATGATAGATAGATAGATAGATAGATAAAATTAAAATTGAGTGGTCTGAAGTTGGTTGTATCCAAAATGAATGACAGTGGTTATCATTACAATTTTCAAATTGCAATGGGGATTTCTTTTCTAACTCTGAAAATAAATAAAAGTAAAACGTTTAATATGAAGATTCTTCTTTCCCTTCAGGGAATCATAGTCTTGGAGAGTTCTTAAGAAAACTTAGGGTTTAACATATACTACAGTAATCATTTTTTATTATTATTATATAAAATTATTGAGTCTACTGTATACTGTATACTAGGCACAGAGAATAGAGCAATTAAAAGTTTCAGTCTTTTGAGGAAAGGAAATTTTGAAAATAATTTTAACCAAGTGCAGTAGATAACAGGGATAAGACATAGGAAGTAAAGAGTGTGGAAGGAAAATAAAGCAAGAGGAGTGATTAAAAACTAAAAGATGGAAAAGGTCAGGAAGAAGAAAAGATAGGTATGTTGGATGGAGTGTGAAAAAGAAGCAGGAGTCTTTTCAGCATAGAAAACATATGGGTGAAGACCCACAGATGGAAAAGAGGGTGAAATGTTCCAGGAAGAGAAATAAGTCCAGAATGACTAGTGCATTAAGAGTCAGGGAAAACATCTCTGCCATATGGTTATCCAACCTCTACCTGAATGCTTCTAGTGACTAAAAGTTAACTATTTCACAAGACTTCTGTATTATTGGACAATTCATACTCTCTGATTTTTTCTTTTTTGCTTATATCAAG